GGCCACCTCTCACATCATTCCCCCTTAACCACCTATAAAATCTGGTGCTGGAATAGCAGAGTATCCACAGAAGACAAGTTGTCTTCTCTAAGGCCACCTTCTGTCTGCTCTAAGCAGACATGGGGCACCACCTTCAGGTCAATTTTCCAAAAACAAAGCAGCCTTGAGTCCAGTTTGTTTGGGGCCCAGTTCTGGTGCCTGTGAAGCCATGCTATGCCTCAAGGGCCTTGAAAGCAGCTATTCCACTTTCAGACAGAGCCTGCCCTGTCATCCTAGGCACCAGGTTGTGCACTCAGCTGTGTGCCTTACATCTATGCCCACAAGCCAGGATGGCAGCAGGAAGCTCCCACGCCTTTCACGAGCTTTGAGGCTGCCATTCTTCAATCCACTGCTCTCTACCCTTCAGGTACCTAGCCCTGCTCAGCAAATGCAACGTACGTGGCTGGCTCCTGCTATTCTCCCATGGCTGCCCTGCACTCCAGCATGTGAGCAAGGCTCCACCATACAGCTGTAGAAGGCAGACTGATGAGATAAGGCTGATACAGGATTTACCAAAGCCATGGAGAATAGCATGTGGGGCTGAGAGCAGGAGCATCCTTCTCTGTCTAGAGCTTCAAATTGCATGTCCTTGGCCATGCATACCAGGTGCCACAACTGCCCTTGTTAGTGTTGGCCAAGAATAGCACTATAACTCATAGACAGCAAGGACGTGAAGCCTGTCAAAGGGTGGTGCCTTGGCTGACATAGCCAGTGTGGACTGTGCTGCATCTGCATTTCACTGTGCTTTGTCTCTCTGGGGACACCCTAAGCTTCACACTTATCTCCCAGGGCCTGGCCCCATGGGGACAGAGACCTTTGCTTGCTTCTAGCTCTCCCTATCGTCACTGGGTTGTTGCAGTGCTCTGTGTAACCAGCATGCCAAGACAACACATATGAGCTCTCCAAACACCCAGAGCTAGCCAATGTCCCCGGGACCCCATTTCACAGCACCGACCCCTCTGCTAGTTGTAGCACCTTGAACGTTACCCCAGCCTACAAACACCCCTGCATCTCATCCACCACCCCACAGCATCCTCTCCTTGCTGCTCTGCCCCACCTGCAAAAGACCCCTAGACCCACAGTGACAGGCTGCTGCGAGCACAAAGCAGAGACCAGGCTGCTATGCAAGAAATTTGGTAGTGCTCGCTTGAGAAATGTGTCCCTCCACGGAGCTGCTCTCAACTTCACAACAGAGCCACACAGATGCCACTGCTTGGGGTGGAGAAGGGTCCAGAGCCTGCCCTTGGCAGAGCAGCTGCCCTCCAGCCACCCTGCGGGCGCCCACACTCCCCCTGTGCCCTGCAGCTCTGCCCTGCAGACCCTTGTCCTTGTGGTTTGCAGCCCTCGAACTCCAGGGTGAGGTTCCCCCCGCCCCGAGACTCACCCCTTCTCAGCTCGGCATCAGACAACCTCAGGGACACACTCCCTTCCCCTCAGCGCCAAGTGGGGTTCTGGAAATGCCACCTGTGCCATCAGTGGTGCAGCATGGGTGAGACCCAGCTACCACGGGAGCAGCACAGAGCCCGCTCAGAGGCAGCTTTGTGCAGAGGGAGGCACAGGCAGGGGGTGAAACAGCTCTGCCAGGGGAGCAGCGGCAGCCTCAGCACAGCCCTGCTCTGGCTGCGGGGCCCAGCTCCCAGCCTCAGCAGGTGGAGGACGAGGGAGATGCAAGAACGCTGCTCCCCGGGGGACAACCCAAGCTCCGGGGTTGTTCTCCTGCATGCGTGGAATGGGTGCTCTGCCCTCACCCCACATCGACCCCAAGGTCGTCCTCCCCACTCTTCCTCCTCCCCCTGCAAGCTCCCTCCTTCTCTCCACCCCTCCTCTGCCTTCTCCTAAGCAGCCACAAATCCTGGGAAGCAGGATTATTGAAACCGGGGTGTCCAGAGCTCCTTTGGTGGTGACGCTGCCCTGGAGAGGTGGGGGAGCAGGCAGGCAGCTCCTGCAGGCAGCCCTGGCCCTCCCGCAGCCCCTCCGGCCCAGCCCT